CAGAACTTTCTCTTTATACATAATTGTTGTGTTCCTTATTTGTTATATTATAATTCGAGACTTTCTAAAAATGAAAAGGATGGTAAAAAGGATAAATAGGATAAATATAATAATCGTATTTTTTTTGTCTTTTTTTTGAAAATAATAATGTGTTTTTTTTTTTTTTTTGTTTAAAACGATAAATATAAATTAATAATAATTAATGGTCTTTTTTGCTTAAAAACCATGGAGATGAAATTTTTGTGTAAATATATAATGTAATGCATTACAATAATCGAGAAAAGAGATTTGGTGATAAAGGTTTAAACGACGTTGATTTCTGCTGCATCTTTTTCGTCTTTTTCGCTAGAACCACTGTGTTCTATGGTGTCAATGTTCTTTTTATCGGCTTTCTTTCCGCGGATCACGATGATCACAGACGCAATAATTACTACGATCCAATAAACGAAATAGCTAACTGTTGTATCGACAGTAGCTTCATTTCTCCAAGCAAATATTGCATCCATGATAGCCCAAAAGTGATTGTTTTTTGGGTCACAACACTCTAATTTCCAAAGAACGACCTCTTCACTACCACTGAGTTCGTGAAATTCATGAACGGCTCTAGAGAAAAGACCAGCAGCAATGAATAATAATAAGATAGTTGTGGCGACGAAAAATACGGAAAGCGAAACAGTGTGAGAGCCTTTATATATAAGCCATCCTATGACGAAGCCAGTAATAAGACCCGTAATAATAGGGATAGGAAGGCCGGTGGGTGGTTGGCTGTAACCAATCTATAAAATGATAGAAGCATAAACAAATGCTAACACCAGTCATATCAACAAATGTAATAGATATAATAGTATAATAAATACCCCAGCAATAAATACAATTGACTCCAATGCTTCGCGGCAAATGACAGTGAAAGGCAGCAAAATTAGCGCCCATTTGTTTCCTTTTTCATGTCGTGCGAGATATGACTCGGTTGCACCTTGGAGTTTGTTTTCCCATTTTAGTTTCCATTGCTGAACACGAATCATACTTAGTGACATGAAAGTTATAACGATAGAGGCAAGGAGAGCAAAGGATCCCTCTATATTAAAAACCAAAGTCATGTGATTAAATAAATACGTATGATATGAAAGTATTTGTGATGAACTCACTCACCCCACGCAGGTTCACTATCTTCCCATAAATTTCTAGCAACAGTGTAGAAAACAGCAATAAAAACACCACCAATGATCAGTGAAATAAATAATCCTAACAATGATCCGATCCATAGATCTTTTCTAAACTGCTTTTTCAAGGGAATATCTTTGTCTTCGGGTAAAATTTTGTCAATAAAGCCTAGGAGTACAGCAAGGATGATCGTAACTTCAAGCGTTTCACGCAAGATAATAAAGTAAGCGGGGATATCGAATAGATAAACCATATTTTAATATTTAGATCGTAAGCTTAAGCGTAAAAAATGGGTTGTGAGTGTATTGAATTGTAAACGTAAAAAATTGTATCGTAAAAAAATGTGTCGTGAATTGTCTGCGTGGGTGGAGACATGAGGAACAAAATTCAAACATGGCTTTTTTATAATTTATCCATTCGCAAAGAAAATTTTATCTGATTTCTCAACGAAATCTTATTTGTTCGGAAACAAGATGCATATAAGAATATTTGACTAAAATTAGATTCACTTTTCTATCTAAAAATGCTTACATATTCATGATTTCTCAATATATTCATGATTTCTCAGTGTTACAGTAGCAATAAAATTTGTGATATAACATTCTGCCTATAGAACAGGTTTTATTCTTCCAAAATTAAATGCGCTTCCGTACTAAAAAGAATTGAATTTAGATAATAATAATATTATTATTAATAATAATATTTAGAGTTAACGGTTACTGTAATCGTAACTAAGATCAGATGTAACGTGAAATCAAAACAAAAACTTTTCTTTTAAAAAAATCATTGATAACTCAAAATTTTGACTATAAAACCATCTTTTACATTCTAACAAAAAAAATTCCTTGCTAAATTTTGATATAGTCTATGCTTTCCCTAACTCAAGCCTTACTCTAACTCTGACTTTAACCGTGAAGTTTTATTTTATAAAAAAAAATTGGTTTGATAGTCACGTTACACCTGATCTTAGTTACGGATACAGTAACCTGATCCCAAAAGTATGTGAATCTTGTGCACATTGTACATATAAAAATTTGTGCACTATATGGTCTTTATATAATTAAATTTATATAAAGATATATACAATAAATTATGTATACAATGTGCTCTATATGCACATTTTCTAATGATTTTGGTGCACTATTTAGCCCAAAAGTATGTGAATTACGTGCACATTTCTAGCCAAAAACATGTGAAACTTTTTAAAAACATGTGCACATGAGCACATTGTGTACATAGATTTTATACACTGAACCTAGGTTGTACGTATGGACAATTTGGCGCTATATGCACCGCCTTATGAGATGTCACGCTTTTTAGCCAACATATTCTTGCATAATTTCAGAACGAAATCATCCGAACTATTCAAAATTCCAGAATCTGATAATACTTATCAGATCATAAATTTCCTTTTAAAACTTTCATCGTAAAAATAGAAATGATCATTGTTTATATTCGACTTAATCTTAAAATGGCTTATCAGATTCTGAGCACTTTATTAGGCTAACATGGATCTATGTATTCGTTACGATTGTTCACGTTTACACAGCATTTATATATCTGATAATCAATTCAAAGAATTTATTCAATAGTACGATGGGTCTTGATAAGCTGTCATTCTAGAAAAAAAACATTTTTTTCCTGAAGGCTGAAGTTCTTTGACAAATACATAAATTATCTACCTTATTCTTTAAATTTGTATATTTACTGATTCAAACATTTAAAACAGAGATAACCATATATTAAAATAATATTTATTATTCTTATCATTATATATCCCCGGATAGAATGCATCATTATATATAAAATTTCTACTTCTA